CACTCTGACGAGTTCAAAGAAGAGATGGTTGGTGATTAAGATTTGGCTTCATGATAAAGCTTTGGCTACGTGATAAAGTTTCGATATGGTGATAAGTGAGCTCGAGATAATCCTTGGATTTAAGAACCCTTAAACTTTCATATCCTTTTTAAAAGATTCATTAAAGGTAAGTATGGGTTCTAACTTATCGTGTGATTGCATTTGCATGCATATACGAGATATGGTGTAGACTAGAATTGCGAGGTTATTGATATTTAGAATTGACTGAGTCTTGTTAAAGGTTGAGACCCAATCCTGGAAACCGATAGTTATTGTTAGATGTCTTAGTTCCTTAGGAAAAACTTTTCTAAACCAACCTTTCCAAAGGCACGAGAGAGGATAAGTGGAGGAAGAATTCAACCTTAACAATTTGGGACAAATTCTTTTTAAGGGGGGTAGAGTGTAATGACGCTGTTAAGAGATCAAAACAGTTACGGGAGATGATCGAGTCAAGACCTAGTTGATGGAAGAAAAATTATCAAGCATGACGGGATTTTAAGCACAAGGTGGCCCGAAACACGACGTGACGAGAAGCATAAGGTGGCAAGGTGTTTTCAAACTTGATATTTTTACAAAATATAAAAGTTTGCGGAAGCACGACACAACTGCTCGGGATCGATGTGCTTGGAATCCGCAAGCACGACAAATCAAAAGCAGGACAAATCTCATAAGCACGAGGTGTCGCGATCTTGTGTGACGAGTCATCGAAAGCACGACAAATCCACAAGCACGACAAATCTACAAGCACGACAAAATCTGCAAGCACGACAAATCAGAAGCACGACAAATCCTATAGGCACGAGGTGTCGTGATCTTGTGTGACGAGTCATCAGAAGCACGATAAATCTACAAGCACGACAAATCCACAAGCACGACAAATCCACAAGCACGATAAATCCGCAAGCACAAGGTGTTGTGACCATGTACAACGACTCATCAGAAAGCACGACACACACTTTTGACCGTCCTACGGTGCCTACCTTCTTGCTTAACCCTATAAATAGGACCAAGTAGCTCTTATTTCTTACATAGAAAACGTTCCAAACCTCTGACCAAAATAGTTCGTGATCGTGATCCAATTCGCGGTCTATTGTCGGGAACCATTTAGTAGTGCCGTGAACTTTTTAGGGTAAGGCGTTCCGATCCTAACTTTTCTATCTGACTTWGTTTCGTCTTGTYATCTTGAATCCAACKRTTTGTGGTTTTGATYGTTGGAATGATCGAGATTCAAGCKYAAACTCTYTCTGRTTTAAGGAAAMGGAAGATTTGWTAGATCGTGGAGTAGTCGAGGAACCTAGATCCGTTCTAAGCCTAAATCCGAGAGTCCTAACCTTTTGAATAAGGTGAGTCTTGGTGATGTTTGTCGTGTGTTAGATGAGTAGAGCACACGTTACTTGTTTATTGTTATGTTTTATAGCCATGGAGGTTCTTGCTAGAATTTTAGGAATTTGGTTAAGTATTTTCTTTGATTGTTTGTGCATGATGTTTGATTGTGTGAT